GATGGATGGATGGATGGATGGATGGATAGATAGATAGATAGATAGATAGATAGATAGATAGATAGATAGATAGATAGATAGATAGATAGATAGATAGATAGATAGGTGGGTAGGTAGGTAGGTGGGTGGGTGGGTGGGTGGGTGGACGGAAGACAGACCGTCAGAACTGGAGTAGGCAACATAGCTCAAATTCTACAAAATCCCATATGATTTTCTCAAAATGATTCAAACTTTGAGGGCAGAACCCAAGACCCAAAAAAGAAAGGTTGCTAATCGCTGTGATAGACTACACATTTCACAATGTTTATCCAACCAGCATTTGCCTTTGAGTCATCTCTTGACATTTTTGTGGCTAATACTATTTTCAGTACTTATCGCTAAAACATTACGCAACTTTCCCAAAGTCTTTCTGTCCTTTTATTTATTTTTTAAAATGTATTTTGTGAAACTGAAATGTCTTCCGTTTGATTCCTGGTTTATTCAGCGGTAGTAAAAATGTGGCTGGGGAATTCTGGGAATTGAAGTCCAATCATTTTCAAGTTGCTAAGGTTGAGAAACACCGGTGTATCGTCTTGATCAGGAGTCTCCAAACGTGACAACTTTAAGACCTGTGGACTTCAACTCCCAGAATTCTCTAACCAGCTTGACTGGCTGAGGAATTCTGGGGGTCGAAGTCCACAAGTCTTACAATTGCCAAATTTGGAGATCCCTGGTCTTGACCAAAGGCTGTAGTCTTTTTAAGTTGTTGAAATAAAGGGGAACACAATAGAAAGAAAACCTACCCATTTGACACTGTTTTCCCAGACATATCCATCTTGTTTCTCACAGAGACTCCTGATACTTTACGGAATGGTAAACGAGTGTAAAAATTCTTGACGCTCCCTTCAAGAGATACTGTAAAATCAACCACACACACACACACACACAAAAAAAGAATGAGAAGTTTTACTGCCAGAATTTAACCCCCCATGCAGTCAAATTCTTCTTACAATCAAGAAATCTCCCCCTCATAGGGAATATGCATGAATTAGCTCACCTGTCTTCTGATATAAAAGTTGGGGGTTTTGAGGTAACACAATCTTGCAGTTGTTGGGAATATTGTTAATGGAAGTGTTACAGACTTGGGCTGCTGGATAGAGGGTGCAAGGAAAAAATGCTGTATCTGTCTTATTCGGGATATCGGCCAGTAGACAAAACTCATCTTCTACGCAACCTGGAACAGAGGAGACAAAATCCATGATTGCCATTTTTATAATCCCTGCCTTGTTATGAATACATAATTGCAACCCAGCCATTTACAAATGGCCTACTTAATATATATGTATGTAAATAAACATATTTTACAATTATAATAGCTGATAATCCGAAACTCAACCTTTTTAGAATGTTCACCAGAAAATTTGGAATTTTTGTTTGTGGTCAGAGATGATGGAAACGGATGAGTAAAATATCTGGGAAACAATCAAGATAAGAAAGCTGGCATTTTTCTCAGTGTGGGAAGTCACCCCCCCCCCCAAGAGAAGGAAATATTAAAAGGGCAAAAAAATATATTTCCTCAAAAGATCTTAAAGAGCAGGAAAGCATGCCCAGTTTTCTTAATAGCCCCAAGTCTCCCTCCCCCAAGCAGAAACCAGCTCTGTAGAAATGCAGATGTAAATAATCCATTCAGGAAGGTTGGAACCCTCCAGCTAGAAGCTTAGGAAGACAAAGAGACCTAAAATCTACATACCCCACCTAAACTCTAAGACAGAACATAATAGGATTAACCCACAGATGCCAAAGGGACACAGGTCAAAATACATGACACAGGAAATACAAAGCCTCAAACAGGAACAGGAAACAACTCCAAACAAAAGGCTCCAGAGGGTATAAAAACCCACTCCCTACGTGTGCTCCCTCTCTTTTCTTCCAGAGCCATCTTTCTGTCTGGCTCTCCTCTTCAATAAACTGCAACCTTCTTTATAAAGCAGTCACCATGTTGTTTATTCCCGGCTTGGACTGAACCATGATGAAGATTTTTCCTTCAACATCAGTCAAGGAATTCCCCATATGTTATAATAATACAAGAATCAGTCTATTCTTTTCACACAATGCTATGTTTTACTGCTTTCCTCCCTTAGCAAGGTAGCATTTCAAGCTTTCATCCTTAAAAAGCAAGCGAGATTTCGGGAGAAGAGACTGAGACAGCTTGACAAAAAAGGATGTGCTTTGCTAGAAAAAGGGAATGCTGTTTATTCTCAAAGTCTCAGCCCGCTATCACTTTTATAGTTTTAGTTTTCACATCAATGTTAGGATCAATTTTTTAAAAAATTAGCTTTTGGGGTTTTGTTTCTCTCTTGGTATGCTTAGAGAGAAGATGGTAAACATTCTGGAAAGATGAGAGCATGTCTAGGACCTTGATTAATTAGTACTGTGACCATTTCCCCATAACTTAAAGTTTCTTACGTGTGAGACACAAGAGAAGAGCCTCTTCAGCTGAGTATCTCTGCTTGAAAAGCCAGTATTTTTGGGATGGCAGACGACGGTTTAGTTCTGTCAAAATTTGGTTGCTTTCCACTATAGAAAAGAGTTCCTTTGTAGAAGCTGATGAACACAAAGACATGAGAGAGACGAGAACACACATGAGGTTTTAATACATCTTAGTGAGAACAACCCCACCCTATTCTAATTAGCCCCTTCATATTTCTGTCCAATAAATAAAATACAATAACTCAGAAACTTTCTCAAAAAGACACAACAGTTCCCTTCACACAAAACCTTATGAGCCCAACTGCGAAAGCTTAATTATTTTAATTATTTTTTTTAATTTTTTTATAAGCTTATAGTATAAGCTTATAAAAAAGCTTTATTAATACTACTCTACAATGCCTTGGTAAGGCCACACTTGGAATACTGCATCCAGTTTTGGTCACCATGATGTAAAAAAGATGTTGAGACTCTAGAAAGAGTACAGAGAAGAGCAACAAAGATGATTAGGGGACTGGAGGCTAAAACATATAAGGAACAGTTGCTGGAATTGGGTCTGTCTAGTTTAATGAAGAGAAGGACGAGGGGGGACAGGATAGCAGAGTTCCAATATCTCAGGGGCTGCCACAAAGAAGAGGGAGTCAAGCTATTCTCCAAAGCGCCTGAAGGCAGGACAAGAAGCAATGGATGGAAACTAATCAAGGAGAGAAGCAACTTAGAACTAAGGAGAAACTTCCTGACAGTGAGAACAATTAACCAGTGGAACAACCTGCCTCCAGAAGCGGTGAATGCTCCAACACTGGAAGTTTTTAAGAAGAGACTGGACNATAGGGTTATCTGCCTGAGCAGGGGGTTGGACTTGATGACCTCCAAGGTCCCTTCCAACTTTACTATTATTATTATTATTATTATTATTATTATTATTATTATTATTATTATTATTATTATTATTATTATTATTATTATTATTATTATAGTTGGAAGGGACCTTGGAGGTCATCTAGTCCAGGGGTTCCCAACCTGTGGGCCGCAGCCTAGTAGTGGGCTGTGGCCTGCTGGCCACCGGGCCGCGGGACAGGCTGGCCAGTGTGCTACAACCCCTCACTTGCGCTAGTACTGCGGGGCACAAAAACAGGACGCCGTGCCACAGGGTGCAAAAATGGGCTGCTGCTGCGCCTTGGGGTGTGAAAATGGGATGCCGCTGTGCCATGGGGCACAAAAACGGGGCGCCGCTACATCATGAGGGAGCTGCTGCTGGTAATGGAGCCGGGAAAATGGGCTGGGTGGGGGGAGCTGCCAATGCCGCTGCCCTGAGGCTTGGCAAATCCCCCCCCCAGCAGCCATTATTCCTCCTCCCCAGCCAGCCACCATCCCCTGACTTACTCCTTGCCTGCCCGGCCAGCTGGCTCGAAACCTCACCACTCTTCTCCTTGGCGGCGGCAGCCTAATGGACCTGAGCAAGCTGTGGCGAGCTAATTGAGACCCAAATGGGGAAGGGTCCAGTGGAGTGGGGGATTTAGTCACGCGCACCGGCATTATCAATACCAGGCCCTGCCATTCGGACTGTCCTCAGCACCTCGGGTGTTCACAAAAATTTTGGCAGTTTTGGCTGCCCATCTCAGGTTGATTCCGGTGCGCGTGCAGTGCTATCTGCTCAGCAGCTTTAGAGGGCTCTAAGTTTTTTATTTTGGCCTTTTTCTTTCCCCCCGCTGTTAATTCAGAAGATCTGTGCTTTTTTTGCGCAGGGGGAACCTCAGAGCCCTGCGATGACTGAGGAGTAGCACTGTCAGCCATTGTGCACTGGATATTCCGAAAAGAGATATCCAGGAAGGGGGGAAATAACACGCAGACCTGTTATCAGAGAGGGAAACGACCCGCGCCCTGATGAACCACAATGACAAAACAGCCAGACAGCACTCTAGCACTGCCTGTCCAGGCCCTGCAGGCACAGCGCCGTGGCCCTCACCATCAAGTTTCCATTGCACAAGCTTTCTGGACTTAAGGAGAAGTGCAGTTACTGAGCCGCCAGGCGGGTCTGGTGGGCGGCGTTGCCTTCCGCTTTTCCTGCTGCGGCATTGGCTGCTGGTGTTGCCCTCCTGAGAGGAGGGCACGGTGATTGGTTGGTGGCCATGCCACAAATGGGGATTGATCATCCCCCAAACCCCACTCATATTGTTTGTGATAATTAATTACTACTCATTGTTTTTTAAAATACATGAACCCAGACAACATGCTGTTTGCTAAATATTAAGAATGTTATTTTAAAAAATCCTAAACCTAACCCCAACCCCAACCCTGACCGCACCCTATTCCTAGTCCTATAAAAACTAATTATATATATAAAACATTGAACCTCAACTTTTTACTTTTCCATAATAGTATAAACTAGCCATTTCTATAACAGCTAATCAATCTAATCAGTAAAACCCAAAATCAAAGTTTCATATTTTTTTTCCGCCTCAGGCACAAAGTCCAGAAGTGGTTTCCAAGTAGAAACAAAAGTACTTATATTATTTTCTTTCATCAAAACAGTCAGCTTAGCCAACTGTGATAGCTTAATGTGATGGGTCAACCAAAAGATTAGCCCTTGTGCAACCAGCTAGAGTTAAAAATTGTGGCTTAGAGTGTTTTTGGGTTTATAGGTAAAACAACAGATTTTAAAAGAAAATGTTAAACTGCATCAGAGGAACAGAGAGGAAAACCAAGCAAAACACTACCAGTGTTCTCCATTGGCTTCCTTATGCCTGGTATCTTCTACATCAAAGTTTCATTTTTTTCCACCTCAGGCACAAAGTCCAGAAGTGGTTTCCAAGTAGAAACAAAAGTACTTATATTGTTTTCTTTGATCAAAATGGTCAGTTTAGACAGTTGGGTCTGCAAATCCCCAAATCCCAGGTCAGCATGGATTTAGGCTGCTTTTGGATAATCTAAACTTTGTAATCTGAACAGATTTAGAGAAGAGCAGACTGAGGAGAGCAGTTCTTTTATTGTGAAAAATCTACTTCTATAAGTGTAGATGCACGGCCCATACCTACCTGATAGACGAGACTTAGACTGTGATGGAACAAGGGTAGCATCACACATGGTAGGTCCAATGCGGGTCATCACGTCAGAATCTAAAGAGGCAATCAAGTAGAAACTAGGTAAAGGTTTCCCCTGTCCAGTTGTGTCTGAGTCTAGAGGGTGGTGGCATCTCCATTTGCTAGCCGAGGGAGCCAGAGTTGTCCAAAGACATTTCCGTGGTCATGTGAACAAGCATAACTATACACCTAGGTCAGTGATGGCAAACTTTTAGAGACCGAGTGCCCAAACTATAACCCATAACCCACTTATGCATCGTCAAGTGCTGGGTGGGTGTGGCCAATTGGGTGGGTGTGGCCCATTGGGTGGTCGTGGCTGCGGTGGTAACGGCAGACTGGGTGGGACTAAAAAGTTCAATCAATCAATTCCAACTTTGCAAGATCTTTTTTTTTCCCGTGAGAAGTTGAAATTGACTGATTGATTGAACCTTTTTTTTTTTTTTTGCACACGGTGGCGGAGGCCTAAAGCGAAAAGGTTTTATAAAACTCAGCTGAAGGCCTAGGACTGGGGCGATGGTGCACGTGTTTACAGAGAGGGCTCTGAGTGCTGCCTCTGGCATCCGTGCCATAGGTTCGCCACCACTGACCTAGGTGCATAGAACACTGCTACCTTCCCACCAAAGTGGTACCTATTAATCTACTTGCATTTGCATGCTTTCAAACTTCTGGGTGGGCAGGAGCTGGGGCAAGTAATGGGAGCTCACCCCATCCCGCCACACTTGGGTCTCAAACCCAGTCTGTCAGCTTTCCAGCTTTCCAGCTGACAAGATCAGCGTCTTTAACCACTGAGCCTTTGTGCCTCCTAAGCAGAAACTAAGCCACGTTTTAATACTGTTATTCTCTTGGACAGGAAGGCAGTTAAATCAGGGCTATGCACCTGAATACACATCTAAACCAAAGGAAGTTTACAAATCAGATCAGAATATCTAAACAAGGAGATGCCTGCAAAATAATTCACACATTTTACAACTTTTATGCATGCCTCAAATAGGCTTATTTGTTTATGAAATTTATCTACCGCTCATCTTGCCAGCTCTAGGTGGCTTGCAACAAAGTAAAAACAACAGTGTAAAAACATTAAGAGAATAAATATTCACATTAAAAAAAAACAAGAGTGCAAGGAAGGGGACAAGACGCCAATCAGATGGCATCAAAAAAACCTCAGTCAGCAAGCCTGCCTCCACAGAGACTCAACTCTTCATGAATACATGAGTAATGTCCTTACAGTTGTATTGACCTGGCTGATTTAAAGAAACTCAAGATTTCCTGGTTTGTTACCCATAAAAATAAGAATGAAATCTAGCCTTATCTAAGGTGGCTTTCTTGGATAAGCCAAATGTAACTAGGTGCTGCCACCTAGCGGCCACCTGCAAATGAATGTGCATTAGTGTGCAATGTATACATGCATTAGTGTGCATGTATACATTTATGTCTACATTTATTTGTATATGTGTGTAATAAAATTATATAATTATACCATAGGCCCATCTGAATATTCCTCCCATAAAAGACATAACTGGCCCCCTTCTGCTGAGACACATATATGGACATCTTCCTTCCACATTTGACACCTGGCAAATCACCCCCAAATCACCTACCTTTCCAGAAATAAACACGCTGAAAGCTGGTGAAGAATTTCTCTGTGTCTTCTGCAAGCTCAGAAGCTAAAAAGGGAAAAAATATTGTTGATTTCCTTATAGAATAGAATAGAGTAGAGTAGAGTAGAGTAGAGTAGAGTAGAGTAGAGTAGAGTAGAGTAGAGTAGAACAGAACAGAACAGAACAGAACAGAATAGAATAGAATAGAATAGAATAGAATAGAATAGAATAGAATAGAATAGAATAGAATAGAGCTGGAAGGGACCTTGAAGGTTTTCTAGTCCAGCTCCCCGCTCAAGCAGGAGAACCTATACCATCTCAGACAAGTGACCTTCTAGCCTCTTCTTAAAGATCTCCAGTGATGGAGTGCCCACGATTTCTGGGGTAAGCTATTCCACTGGTTAATTGTCCTCACTGTCAGGAAGTTTCTCCTTAATTCTAGGTTGCTTCTCTCTTTGTTCAGTTTCCAACCATTGTTTCTTGTCCTGCCCTCTGGTGCTTTGGAGAATAACGTGACACCCCCCCCCTTCTTTGTGGCAGCCCCTCAAATACTGGAACACTGCTATCATCTCTCCCCTATTTCTTCTTTTCTTTAGTCTAGCCAAACCCAAGTCCTGGAATGGTTCTTCTTATGATTTAGTCTCCAGGCCTTTGATCATCTTAGTTGCTCTTCGCTGATTTTTTTCCAAACTCTCAACATCTTTTTTGTGATATGGTGACCAAAATTGGCTTTTCTAAGGAGTCACCATTGGTATCCTTTTATCCATTGCAGGATAAAATAAATAAATAACACAGCAAATCTGCTGATTTTGAAATACAGATAAACGTAGGATTAAAGACACAAGGTGTGGCCCAGAATGGGGAACCATATGTCTACATGTTCCCACCAGCCATGTAGAGTTTTATAGTGTGGGAAGTCAGCCCCCCAAGAGAAGGAAATATTAAAAAGGGCAGAATATTATATTTCCTCAAAGGATCTTAAAAAGGCAGAAAAGCATGCCCAGTTTTCTTAATAGCCCCAAGTCTCCCTCCCCCAAGCAGAAACCAGCTCTGTAGAAATGCAGATATCATAATCTTTTCAGAAAGACTGGCACCTGGAAGCTTAGAGCTGATGGGATTAGAAAGACAAAGATCCCTAGAATCAACAATCCCTCGCACCAAAAAAATCCAACACAGGACATAGTCATCAGCCCCAGCCCCAGGGAAGCTGGATATGACCTTTGGGATATAACAGGATTAACCCACTACCATCAGAATACCAGAAAGGCACACTCAGACTCAGGTCAAAGTTCATGACACAGGAACAACTCCAAACAAAAGCTCAAGAAGGTATAAAAACCCACCACTGCCTACTACATGTGGTCAGCTTCCCCGGAGCCATCTTTCTGTCTGGCTCGCCTCTTCAATAAACTACAACCTTCTTTCTAAAGCAGTCGCCATGTTGTTTATTTCCGGCTTAGACTGGGCCCTGATGAAAATTTTTCCTTCAACAATAGCTCACAACCAACACTTTGAATTGGACCTGGAAGCAAACTGACACCCATAGCAGCTCACAGAGCAGAGATGTTACACGCACCGTCCTTGGAGTATCCAAGANATTGCTCATGCAGCTGCATTCTGTACCAATTGAAGCTTCCAGATACTTTTCAAAGGTAACCCATGTAGAGCGTGTTGCAATAATCCAGACGGGAGATGACCAGGGAGTGAGTAACTTGCTTACTTACTCACTTACCTCCAGCAAGCACTTGGTCTCCAATTCTGACTGTGTATTGGCTCTTTCCTTCGTTGTACTTTGCACGTTGACATATGTCACCTTGTCGACGGGTTGAGCTTCCATCCCAGTCATTAAGGTTGCAAATCAACGCGCTTGGGGAACTCAGCAGACTACAAGCAATACTGCCTGAATGCAAGGAAGAAAAGATTTACAGGGTTCAGTTCTGCTTACTTTGTTGCTGAATCTAATAAGAGTTTGATCTTGGCAGTGAAAACTTGGAGACGTGTTCAGTTGGCCTTTTCAGTCATTCTGCTTTAGACGTCTTGCTTTGTCCTTCTCAGGAACTATAAAAGAACTAATTCCATTCTATTCATCCTGGAAACTGCCTGAGAAGATACAGGAAATCCTAATTCTTCAGGAATATCCTCTGTATCACAAATTAGATCTACAACTTCAGCAGGGTCCAAGGGAAGCAAAGACTTGGTCCTTGGTCAGTCCAAGGAGTGTCAAAAAAAAGAGAAAGATGCCCCTAGGTCAGTGATGGTAAACTTTTTAGAGACCGAGTGCCCAAAAACGTCCCCGCCTGCCCCCACCCTGCCACCCTGCCTGTCTGCAGGGCCACTCACCACCTCCATGGCCCGCTGCAAATCGCCCAGGTGGCCCAGCAGCACCATGGTGGCCGTGCCCTCTGCATCAACTGCACGTGATGGGGCACAAAGGAGTCTTGTCCCCGCTGCCCGGCTCCTATGTCCTTGGCTGCGCTGCTCCACGTGGGCTGCGCTTGGGGGTGACTCTCCTCCGGGGGAGCTGCTGGTGAGGAGGGGGCCATGGGGGAGGCAGGCTGGGGTGATGGCACACGTGCCCACAAAGAGGGTTCTGACTGCCACCTCTGGCATGGGTGCCATAGGTTTGCCACCACTGCCCTAGGTATATACCTCACACAACAGAGGAATTGAATCACAATTTCAATCAGTGCAATGGAAGCAGAGACTGAAATGTCGTGTAGTTACTGTACATGGTCAGTCCAAGGAGTGTCAATAAAAGGCAGAGAGGCCCCTGGTTATGTACCTCACACTACAGAGGAACATCTTCTCTATCACAGAATAGATCTACAACTTCAGCACAGTCCAAGAGAAGCAAAGTCTAAAATATTGTGCAGTTGCATGGTCATTCCAAGGAACGAAAAAAGAAATACCCCAAAGTTACATACCTCACACTCCAGTGATTCTCACTCCCTTTATGCATTTCACCCCAGCTCTGATATAATCATAAATGGTCTGGCAAATTTGCCTATGGGTAAATGGAGCAAAGTATTGTCCATTCATCCCTCATATGAGCTTCTGAATTGGATTCTGAAATCATGTATCTGCATGTATTTTTAATTAGGCCATTTGAAGGATTTTTGACGGGAAGGGTATTTTATTTTTCAAAAATTTTGTTACTTTCTTCAACTTACATCCTGCCTTTTCTATAATGGAATCAAGGCAGCTAGCTTGGTCCTTCTTCCACCACGTTTCAACCTCACAACAACGCTGAGAAATTCAGCAGTAAGTTGAAGATTTGGCCTAAAATCACCTAGTTACAGTGGTGGGATTCAGCCAGTTCGTACCACTTTGGCAGAACCAGTAGCTAATTTTTGGTTGCCCAGGCCCAGAATGGACTTCCAGAAGCGGCATCCACACCGAGAACCGGTTGTTCACATATTTGATTCCCAATACTGCCTAGGTGGCTTCACAGTTGTGAGCACTTAGACTTGCTTCTCCCCAATCCTCAAGCCACTCTACGATGCAGATTAGATCAAGAATTCCCCATTTTCAAAGACGTTTTCAAAGTAACTGACATGTTTATAAACATTTAAAGAACAACAAGAACAAATTCTAATGGAGGAAGAAATTGCAATTTTTCTTTTTTTTTCAATTATTCTTACATTCCACAGAGTTTGCACACAACTTCCTGAATTATAAACTATAACATTTGCAAGCCTAACCATTATCATTGACTCATATATTGTCATAGCAAGCTAGCCTGTCTTAAAATTAATCACACAAAACGTTATCATCTACATCGTAAGATAAACAAAATTAGATTTCTGCTCTAGTGGGCTCATTCCTTAGTCCATGGCATAAAAGGAAGGGTGACCTTCTTAGCTGTAGCCTAAACTATTACCTCCATCTAGTATGAGCTGGCTTAAGATAAAGCCATCACAGCAAGCATCTTGGTGGCAGGCTTGGCGGCAGAAGAGATGAACATCTGTTAAAGATGTACCAGATGCTGATACAACCGAAATGCTGTAAACGCCAGAAACAACATCCTGGAAATCAGTCTTTTCGAATCTCTTGACTCCCGCTGTAGTAAATTCTTGTCCTGAAAACAAAAGGACAACTGTTTCAAATAGTCTACTCCCTCGGTTGGAACGGTTTTGTGAGAATGTCCACGACACACTGTCAACATTCCAGAAATCCTTTTTTTAAAAAGTTACTTGCTCCTGGTTTTGAGGTGAGCTAGAACTTTTTAACTGCTCTCTGTTGTACAGGTTATGACTGTAATGGAGCCTTGCCAATCGTGGTCACAACTTGTGATGATTGTAAGGGCAATCACTTTTTCGAGGCACTCGTTACTTTGAACCATTGTTAAATGAATGGTGGCAAGTTGAGGACTACTTAAACTGATATAGTTACTGGTATTGCTCTGTAGGCTTCCTTGCTTTAATTAATTCATTTTTAGCCATTGATCTGTTTTCATGATGGCATCGGCATCGGACCTGGCTACCTCCGAGACCGCCTTCTGCCACAGATCACCTCTCACCGGCCGATACGCTCCCACAGAGAGGGTCTCCTCAGGGTGCCGTCAACCAGACAGTGCCGGTTGGCGACCCCCAGGGGGAGAGCCTTCTCTGTTGGAGCTCCCACCCTCTGGAACGAGCTGCCCCCAGAGATCCGGGTGATTTCGGATCTCCCCTCCTTCCGCCGCGCCCTCAAGGCATGGCTGTTTCAGCTGGCAGGACTGGCCTAGGGATATTTTAAATTGGATTTTAATCAACTTTTAAAATAAGAAAAAGGCCTATTTAAATATATCTTTTAATTTATTTTAAATTTTCTATATTTGTACCAATTGTTCTGTTTTTTAACTGGCTGTAAGCTGCCCTGAGTCCACTAGGAGAAGGGCGGGATATAAATACAATAAACTTCAAACTTCAAACTTCACAAATTTACTGATCAGCAGCAAACATAGGGAAGCCGTGAATCGGGTGATGAGCTGGGACTGGCCAGTTTCAGCAGATCCCCTAGTGCAGGGGTAGGCAACCTTGGCTCTTTTATGACTTGTGGACTTCAACTCCCAGAATTCCTCAGTCAGCATGGCTGGTTCAGGAATTCTGGGTATTGAAGTCCACAAGTCATAAAAGAGCCAAGGTTGCCTACTCCTGCCCTAGTGTATGTCCAAACCCCACCAATGTCTTGTGGACCTCAACCTGAGCATCACAGCTCTAAAACCAGTGCTGGGATTCAGCCACTACTTTGCCAGAACCGGTAGCTATTTTTTTGTTTCCCAGGCCCAGAATGGACTTACAGAAGGGGCATCCACACAGAGAACCGGTTGTTCACATATTTGAATCCCACCACTGTCTAAAACATAAAATTGCTGGGGGTCCTCTCTTGCGCAGACCCTGAGAGTAATTAAAGCTCTTCTGTACATACCTTTTTTCAGGTATACATTCAACGAATCTTTCTTATCTGGGCTTCTCACTTTAATTAGGCATCTGAGACCGGCAATGCTGGTGGCGAGAGAATTATCCCAAGCACCGTGAACCTAAGATAAAGAAATATACAGAGAAAGCTGATGATGGCTGCAGGATTGCAGAGAAGAGCAACAAAGATGATAAAAGATCTGGAGGCTAAATCGTATGACTAACGGTTGAGGGAGCTAGGTATGTCTAGACCAGGGGTAGGCAACCTTGGCTCTTTTATGACTCGTGGACTTCAACTCCCAGAATTCCTGAGCCAGCATGGCTCAGCTTGGAAACCTCTCCCTGTCCCCTCAGCATGGCTGGCTCAGGAATTCTGGGAGTTGAAGTCCACGAGTCATAAAAGAGCCAAGGTTGCCTACCCCTGATCTAGACTATTGAAGAGAAGGGCTAGGGGGACATGATAACTGTCTTCCAGTATTTGAAGGGCTGTCACAGAGAAGAGGGGGTTGACTTAATCTCCAAAGCACCTGAGGGCAG